CGAAGCGGGCGGCGACTGCTAGTTTTCCATCTGTTGGGCATCCCACCCGGAGCCGTGCGTCCGGTTTACGGGTCGTGCGTCGCTGCGAACGGGGGTAGCATGGGCATCGTGGGCCAGGTGGACGCTAAAATATCTATTGGAGAGGTGTCGGCCTCGGGCATTGTGTTGATTTCAAGGTCCTTGGCAGTTCCTTGTTTATTGGGCACTGATTTCCTGGCTAAGATGACTATTTTGATCAAAATTAATGAGAATTGTATTGAACTGCCAGGTGGCCGTCAAATCTCGTTTCTGCCGTCGCCCTGGGGGCGACCTGCTTCAGCCGCACAAGTGCAGGCGCTGTCCGTGGCATCTGTTGACATCCCACCTGGCTCACAGATGCTTATTCCCTTGCGGTATCGGAAGCCCCTGCCTAATCGGCTAGGAGCGGTTGGGGTTTTGTTGTCTCCGTCAGCCTCGATTACGGCCGGATTGGCGCTGGTTGGGGCACAGACCATCGTCCGGCCGGATCAATTACCGTTTTTACAGGTGCTCAATGCGGGTGCGGAAAACGTCTGCGTCCCGGCTGGTACGGTTGTGGCACATGCCACGACGGCATTTACGGCTCAGGATTGTTCGCATAGCCAGGGGGTGGTTGCTGGTGTTTCTGAGCCTGTGGCTTCAGATGATCGCTGGATTGCTAACTTATGTGACGGAAATTCTTCCCTGTCCGTGGATCAACGTGGTGCGCTTCGCAAATTGTTATTGACGTATTCGGATGTGTTCAGCTCCAATGATTTGGATTTGGGACGCACCTCGTTGCTTTCCCATCACATTGATACAGGCGACGCTGCCCCTATTCGGTTGAATTCGCACCGAATGAGTCCCGCCGAACGGGAACACGTTCGGGGGGCAGTGGAAGACATGTTGGCTGCGGACATTATATCGCCATCTAACAGCCCATGGGGGCGCGCCTGTGGTTTTGGTTAAGAAAAAGGATGGCACATTGCGATTTTGTGTTGATTTTCGCAAATTGAATAAGATATCGGTGGCAGATGCGTATCCCCTGCCGCGTATGGACGACTCCCTCGATGCGTTATCGGGGGCGAAGTTCTTTTCTATACTGGACCTCTCTTCGGGATTTTGGCAGCTTCCCCTTGACGAGCCCTCATGGGAGAAAACCGCATTCCGTACGCCGCAGGGGTTGTTTCAATTCAACTGCCTTCCGATGGGGCTGAATGCGGCCCCTGCCACATTTCAAAGGCTGATGGAGCTCGTGTTGACGGGGTTGCAGTGGGAGACATGTCTCATATATTTGGACGATATTATTGTCTTCAGCCGCACATTTGATGAACATTTAAGGCGGCTGGAGACGGTGTTCACGAGGATGCGCTCCGCGAATTTGAAATTCAAACCAAAGAAATGTCACCTACTGCAACGCTCCGTCCGTTATTTGGGGCACATCGTGAGTGCTGAGGGGGTGTCCACGGACCCAGAAAAAACGGCGTGCGTCCGGGATTGGCCAACTCCGGCCACCGTGGGGGATGTACGTCGGTTTTTGGGATTTGCCTCGTATTATCGAAGATTTGTGCCGAATTTTACGACGATCGCGAGGCCCTTGCACCTCCTTACGGGTAAGGGACGTAAGTTTGCGTGGGGACCGCCGGAAGAGGCGGCCTTTCAGAGTCTGCGCGATCTGTTGGCTACGGCCCCAACATTGGATTATCCCGATTTCGATCGCCCATTCATTCTTGATACGGACGCGAGTGACACAGGTATTGGCGCGGTATTATCCCAGTCTAAAGGGGGCGTAGAACGCGTCGTGGCGTATAGTAGCCGGGTCTTGTCTCCCGCGGAAACCCGCTACTGTGTCACTCGCAGGGAACTCCTAGCCGTTGTTTTTTTCCTACGTCAGTTTCGACCGTACCTGTACGGTCGTTCCTTTGTCGTGCGTACGGATCATGCGGCCTTGCAATATGCGCTTAAAATGGATCAGCCATCCGGCCAGTTGGCGCGTTGTTTGGACACGCTGCAGGAATTTTCCTTCCAAATTCACCATCGGAAGGGGGTGCGCCACGCCAACGCAGACGCACTTTCCAGATTGCCGCAGCGCTCCCCTTGCAAATGTGCGTCGGGGACGCATAGATGTACGCCCAGTCTATCCCCCCCTCAGCCGCTGGCGTTAGCTGTCGAGAAGTCGGATGCTCCTATGGAACCGGGGCCGACTGACGGGGTTTTGAATCTGCCGCGGTCTGTTTGGATACGGGAGCAGATGATGGATGAGTCGTTGTTGTCCTTGCGGAAGCGATCTAAAGTGGAGAATGGGAGTCCGGGTACGGATGGGGTACCGGAAACCGCGCTCCGAGATGGTCTGCTCATGTGGAGGGAAGGTCTCCAGGAGCGCTGGCGTCTGGTTGTGCCTGCGTCCCTGCGATACGAGTTGATTAGAACTCTCCATTGTGACACGCTATTACATCTGGGTGTGCAGAAGACCTTGTTGACGTTGCAACGTCATTACTTTTGGCACGGCATGGCGACAGATGTCGTGGGGCACGTCCGCGCGTGCCCTGATTGTGCCCGACGTAAGCCACCTAAACATCCTTATGTGCCGCCTATACAGTCAATTCAGGTGTCTCGGGTTAATGAATTGGTGGCACTGGACATTTTGGGACCTTTCCCACCATCGGCGAGGGGTAATAAATATTTGCTGGTTGGGGTCGAGTACCTCTCCCGTTGGCCGATGGCCTGGCCGTTGCCCGACCAATCGGCCGCGACCATTACCGACGCCTTTTTGTTCGGGTACGTTATGGATAAGGGTGCGCCTGAGAGACTCCTCACGGACCAGGGCCGAAATTTCTCTTCTAAATTATTGGCGGAAGTGTGCGCGGGCCTTGGGACTAAGAAAGTACGGACGTCCCCATACCATCCGCAAACGGATGGTATGGTTGAGCGGCTAAACCGGACATTGTCTGCCATGCTGTGCCATACGGTGAGTGAACAACAATCGGATTGGGACCTGCACATCCCGGGGGTGCTTTCGGCGGACCGGATGACTCCTCATGCGGCCACAGGTTATTCGCCGTTTTACCTTATGTATGGTCGGGAAAACGTGCCGCCGATGGATGTGCAGTTGGGAACCGGTGTGAGGGGACCTCGTAAACCACTCCCTGATTACATTCGGGACACTGTTCGCCGGGTCTCGGAGGCGCGAAAGAGTGCCCGCGCGGCTACGGCCAAAGCCCAGGCCCGGAACGAGAGGTATGCACGACGTTCCAAGGGGGAGTGCCCCTGGAAGGTTGGGGACCTGGCCTGGCTCCATTGCCCGCAAGTGCGGCCGGGTACCTCTCCTAAATTTCACAAACCTTGGCAAGGGCCCGTCCGCCTCATTGAGGTTCCCAACCCTCAGTCGGCGCGTGTCCATATTGGATCTCGCCGCTGGTTTGTTCACATGTCGCGCTTGAAACCATATGTTGCTCCCCTACATGATACGTCATCTCCTAATGTTGCCTTGCCGGGGTCTGTTGCTGCCGACTCTCCCCTGCCTGCGTCCATTGATCTTGCGGGAGCGCCTGTTGTGCCTGTTCCAGACAGACCGGCCGTGACGCCGCAGGTGACGAAGAGCCCTGCTCGGAGGGTGCCTGCCAGGACTGCGGGAGCTCCGGGCTCTGCGGCCCTTCCGACCCCGTTGCAGGCACAGTCGCGGGACACGTCCGGGGCTAATTCTGCAGGGACACGGGACGTTGGTGGACCTCCAACATCGACAGGAGGATTACGCCCTGTCACTCCTCGACCTCCGTCACGTTCCCGCTCTGCGGATGGGCCGCCGACCGTCCGGGACGGGCCAGCGACCCGCACACGTTCTAAATCCCTTGTGTTTCGTTGATTGTTATGTTGCATTGTTGTTCTTACTGTTATATTTATTGCCTGCTTCTTGTACGTTCGTTGATTGTTATGATGTGTTGATTGTTCTTACTGTTACTTACTGTTACTGTTATACTGTTATATTGCATGCTTGGTGTCCTTTGGTGTGTCAAGGTCGGTTTCGCCCGCATTACTGTTGGTTGGTATTGTTCAGCCGAGGTCGGCTGCGTTTTTCTCTACGGGGGAGGGTGGTGTAATGCGGGCGCGAGCGACCTCCCGGATATGACGTCACGAGGAGGTGGAGTTATGTGACGTGGGAGCAAGGTTCGGGTCCTTAGGGGAGGAAACCGGAAGGAGAGAGGAGAGAGTGGGAGACTGAGCAAGGGTAAGGCCACGTAGGGCGAAGCTAGGGGAGAGTGGCGCCGTCGGCCAGCGGTGACCAACTAAGGGAGCAACAGCGGAGCTGCGGGAGGAGACAGCAGTGGGGCTGCTGGAGAGAGAGAGCGGTTGAGGAGCTGCAGCGAGTATAGCCGGGGAGGCTGTGTATGGGAGATAGCAGCAAGGCTGCTAGGAGCTACGGGAGCGACAGGGAAACAGCCGCGAGGCTGTCCGAGGCTACGGGAGCGACACAAGGAGAAGCTGCAGCGAGTACAGCCAGGGGGGCTGCGTGAGGGTAACAGCAGCGAGGCTGCTAAGAGGCTACAGGAACGGCGGAGATCAACAGCGGGGCTGTTAGCGGTGACGGGTGTAACAACAGCGTCGGCACCGTGTGGAAAGTCTCAAAGGAGGACAGCCGTGTGGGAGACAGCAAACGAACCGAATAAAGGACACCAAGCCAGACATCGTGGTCGAGTCTTTTATTACACATGTATGAAACAAAACGATGAATCTGAACAAATGAGCCACCTTCATGGGCATCTTCTTTGTGGACAGCACCCCTGGCTTTGTGTTAGTGACTATACGTAAACTGCATGCACTATAATTTTTCACTTATCATTATCACTATTTTATGCATGTATTGTGAGCTCAATTGATATTAACAGACAAATCTTGAATCTATGCAATATGGGACCAGTTCGTATAAGACCAGTCGTTATGCACTCTTGTATGAAGCTGATTGTGGTAGTTGGTGCGCGATTCCCCATGCTGTCACTGGGATGCAGGTCGTGCAGGTGCTGGGCAAACTCCCGGGGGCCACGGTCGAGAAGCCTCTCCTGCAGGCCGAGCTGTCACCCCCACAGTGGGCACGAGCTACACCACACCACACTCGCACCACACACACACACACCATTCACATTGATAACCACACACACCATTCACATTGATAACCACACACCATTCACATTGCTAACCACACACATTCACACATCAACCACACCACTCTGACCACACACTACTCACACCGGTCACACACGACACCACTCAACCAGTCAATGCTCACTCACTTGACACACACTTATCACTCACATTGTTCCACCACCAATCACCATACACACATCACAAACACCACACACATACTCATCGCACATACACACCAAACATCCACTCACCAAAACACACACCACTCACACCATACCTTTAACACCCTCCCACCACTCACACAACTTCCTGTAGTGGTGTAGTGGTGATTACTTGGTTGTAGTGTAGGATTGTGGTAGAGAGGAGTGGCTGTATGGAGGTTGTGGTGTGGCTATTGTGATGTTGTGTAGTGTTAGGTGGTTTGGTTGTTTGGGGATTTGGTGGTGGTGGTGTGAGATGGTGTGCAGTTGGTGTGTTGATGTTGTGGTGGTATGGTGGTAATGTGATGTGTGTGGTGGTGTATCATACTATGGTAGGTTGTGTTGTGTGGCAGCGTCATGTGGTTGCATGGTGGTTAGTGCACTTCTACAATACTAGTAGCGTACGTTTAATACCTGTGTGCCAACTACTGTCGGGGCTAATAGTGCAGGCTTTTTTTCTGTATGTGCGTGTTGTTTTTAGGAAAGGCTGGAAAACATTAATCAAGTGATGCTCAGCGAGTATGAACTGCGGAGGAAGATGTTGCTGAAGCGTCTTGACGTCACAGTGCAGTCCTTCGGCTGGTCTGAAAAGGCTCAGGTATGGAAAGAATGAATGAACATGAGCTGGACTATTACCATCACTCATGCTCCTCTACTGATATCTCTTGCGCTGACCTCAACGATAAACACTCCTGAGAAATGGCCTTTAATTACCACTCTGTCGACACCGCACAATGTGCTTTTCCAGCTGCTGCTTGTGCAGCTTTAACAACAAAGTGGCTGAAGTTAAAGTTTTCTTTTCCATTCCCAATTACATTGCAAACACATGGTGCTAATGGCACACCTGCAGTCCTTTCTCTGTGGACAATGCAACAGCCATGCAGTTGACCAACAGAACACTTGAGTGCCTTATTTTATCTCTGATGGGAGACCCATATTCACACTTTCCTATCTGGTGCCAACCCTGAGCACACTAGTTGTGAGAAACAACTTGAACACGGGTGGCTACCCAGCATGCACACCCAGCAGATCAGCAGTGGTGGCTCGGTGCCTTGACCCAGGCATAGCAGATCACGATCCAACAACCACCGCCTCTGTCTGTCTGTCTGGCGCGTAAACAGATGCACGTGGACTCGGTGGCACGTGCGTACGTGCCCAAGCGCGCCGCCCTGTCCCCACGGCCGTCCGTGTCGCTGGCCCACGTGCTGGCGGCGCGCGCCGACCTGTCCCGCATCGTGAAGACGACGGGCGGCGAAGTGCGCGCGCACACGGCCTGCTCCGTCAACAAGGTGCTGTCAGCACACCCCTTGCCGTTTCAACTTGTTGTTCACTTCCAAACCTCCAAATTTGATAAGGCATCAATTTGGAAGTTCTCTTGAATAGTTTCCCAGTTATCACCAGTTCCTCTTTCTGCCTTTCATTGTAATTCAAAGCATGTGCAGACTGAAGGGCACACGCATTAGAGAAAACACGCATCAGGTTAATGACATCATCTGAACCATTAAGAACTGGGCTTGGACAGGATAAGTCACTTGTAGGGATGATGGGAAGATGGTCAAGAATATTGCTGAGTGGCAGTCAAAGACTGTAGTGCGTCCGAAAGAAGGTCCACCGAGGTGATAGAGCGATGAGAGCGGTTTGTGTGTTTGTGGGAGGATTGTTACATCGCAGGATGGTGAGAGGCGGCGGCTTTGAGGCCTTCATCCAGCAGTGGATTGACCATGGCTGATTTTAATGACCATTGGCAGTAGCTGCACTTCTGTAAATATTTTTGGTTTTGCAATTCTTTGCAAGTTCATTACTTGTTAACAAAGTAATAACTTTAAATAATACAAAAATGAATTGCAATAAAAAAAAATTGTATTCTATTACTTTATATATATTATTTGGGTCTTTCGGTAAAGCCATGTAGATAGAAAAATAAAAAATACTAATATCACGACGTTTCGATCGCAACACAAGCAATCGTCATTAGGTGAAAAATATAGCGGGAGAGCTGCTGAAGCAGGATGTTATATAGGTTTGGGATGGGTGTAGCCCAAGGGTAAATGGGCTGGGTGAGAGATGGAATTTGGGTGTAAATGTAAGATCGGAGAGCTGATATACCTCCAGACTATGAAGCTGTGGAGGTGGCCATTGTATTATGAGAGATTAGCATGTCAATCTGTTAATGTAAGATTACAATGGCCACCTCCACAGCTTCGTTGACGTGGAGGTATATCAGCTCTCCGATCTTACATTTATGAATTCCTGCAGTCATGAAAGCTTTAAGTCAAGATTTCCTTATATAGTTATAAAATCTAAATGGGAAGGACATGTTGGAGTAGACGGGCAGCCTGTTTAATAACTTAGAGTAGCAGTAAACTGCAAATCAGACCGAGCTTTTATGCTCGTCTCATAATATACAGTAACATTCTAGATTTGAAGTTTTCGTGACTGCAAGGATCCATATTCTTTGGTTCTTTCGGTAAAGTCCCGTAGGTAATAAAATAAAATATAAATAAATACATTACATCACGACGTTTCGATTGCAACACAAGCAATCATCAGCAGGTGTGACAACCACAGCAAGAACATTTTTACTGAAGTGGGAGAGATGCCAAGGTTAGGGCAGTTAAATAAGTCAGAGAGGGGAGGGTGGGGAGAGGAGGGTGAGCGCTGTAGGGACGCTGAGAGCAAAGAAGCAACATGATTGCTGCCAAGATAGATGATGGCGCCCAAAGCAAAATAGCCGCACTGCTAAACGCTGAGGATGCAATTGTAATGCGAGCAAGGATTGAGGGGGGGTTGGAGTCTGGGTCACGTGGGGAATGGGTGGAGTTAGGGTCACGTGGGGGAGAGGATTTGGGGAGAGAACTGGAAGGGGAAGGGGGAGTTGAGACGGAGTGAAACACGAGGAGGCCACGCTGGGCAGGATGGAGAGAGTGGCGCGATCGCCACGCGGTGGGAGACGTCGACACCGTCAGCCATCGGTGTCAGACGCAGAGAGCTAGCGGCTGTGGGAGGCTAGCTGTATACGGGGCAGAGTGAAGCTAGAGAGTGGAGCAGCGGTGTGGCTGCAAGGCGGAGCAGCAGGGAGACTGCCTAACAGAGCAGCAGGGAGACTGCATATCGGAGCAGCAGGGAGACTGCATATCGGAGCAGCCGAGGGGCTGTGGAGAGGTTGTCGAGAGGGACGCGGGCCTGAGCGAAACGCCATGGTATCGAGATTCTACGAACCCAATAAAGGACAACGGAGATCGACATCTGAGAGAGAGTCCTTTATTACACAATTAACTCGGTAAGATAGACTAGTACCCGGTAAATAAGATGGAACAACTATGAACAGTTCAATTTTACTTGGTTAATAACATCTTTCCAAGATTGCTCAATTTCTATCTATCATCTCGGTTGAAGTTCTGTCTATGTTTATATATCTGGATGGCTTCATGAACAAATCTTTGATGGTAGCCAGACGGCTTGCAGAGCACCTTGGTCTCTCCTACTATGGTTAGGCACTGCCTTACCAACACTTACTTCACCTGGAATGGTACTTTCTACAAACAAAACGAAGGTACACCCATAGGTTCCCCCTTATCTCCAGTGATAGCGAATGTTTTCATGGAGAAATTTGAAACCGATGCCATGCAGACATCCACCCTACGTCCTTCCTTGTGGAAGAGATATGTGGATGACACTTTCGTCATTTGGCCACATGGCCTGTCAGCATTGAACCAATTCCTCAACCACATCAATTCCATACACCCATCCATCAAATTCACCATGGAAGTGGAGAAGGATGGTAAGCTACCATTCCCTGGATGTTTTGTTTGAGAAGAAGCCTGATGGCTCTTTGGGATATTCTGTCTACAGGAAAGCCACCCACACAGATTCCTATCTGAAACCTGAATCCCACCACCATCCGGCACAGAAGAATTCCCTCATCAAAACCCTGCACCATAGGGCCCACTGCATTTCTGACCAACACCACCTAACCAGTGAATTGGAATATGTACACCAGGCCCTCTAGATGAATGGATAACTCGGACCGTACTATCCGCAAAGCTGTTTCTCCAACCATGGAGAAACAACCCCATGAGACTCCGATCAAAACCATCACGTTATCATACATAGCAGGCATTACCAAAAAGATTGCCAAAATCTTAAACAAACACAAGATTCAGATCCGATTCAGTACAGTACACAAAATCCGTGATCTAATCCCATCTGTGAAGGATGTTATTCCTGACTTGCAATACCCTAGAGTCTACAAACTAAGTTGCATCTGTGGTGATTGTTAAATTGGGGAAACGAAACGTCATGTCTCTGACCGTATCCGCGAGCATAAGTCAGATCTGAAACACGGCAGAACTAATTCCTCCGCCGTTGCTGATCATTGCTATCATGCTGGGGGCTCTCATGATATTGTTTTCTCCGAGACCAAGGTGCTCTGCAAGCCGTCTGGCTACCATCAAAGATTTGTTCATGAAGCCATCCAGATATATAAACATAGACATAACTTCAACCGAGATGATGGATAGAAATTGAGCAATCATTGTAAAGATGTTATTAACCAAGTAAAATTTAACTGTTCATAGTTGTTCCATCTTATTTACCGGGTACTAGTCTATTTTACCGAGGTAATTGCATCCTCGGCGTTTAGCAGTGTGGCTATTTTGCTTTGGGCGCCATCATCTATCTTGGCAGCATTCATGTTGCTTCTTTGCTCTCAGCGTCCCTGCAGCGCTCGCCCTCCTCTCCCCATTCGCCCCCTCCCTTCCCCCCCACCCTCCCCTCTCTGACTTATTTAACTGCCCTAACCTTGGCATCTATCCCACTTCAGTAAAAAAATCCTTGCTGTGGTTGTCACACCTGCTGATGATTGCTTGTGTTGCAATCGAAACGTCGCGATTTAATTTATTTATTTTAATTAAAAAATTTCACTTACGTGACTTTACCGAAAGAACCAAAGAATATACAGTAACATTCCAAATATCCACACTCCAATCATCTGCAAATTCCTGTACTTCGCAGATTTCGCACGGTTCACGACTACTCCCAAAATCCATGGAACTGTTGAATTCTGCATGGAGTGGCATAGGATTTTGCACACAGCTTCATGATCCCAGCAATCTAGCATTCAGTTCAAGCCATACGAACCACAATGCACAATTGACATATGACCCTAACCTTGGCTTCGACGTAAAAAGAGTACTGGGTGATGACTGTGGTGCAGGTTCGAACAGCTGCTTGGTGGAGTCACTCATTTCAGGCATCTCTCCATGGTACAGGCATAGCCCGTTTTACGCCCAGGATGTGTTCCTGAAAACCAGAACATCAATCGAAAGCACTTAAATCAAAGCAAAGAGATGGGTTGTGGATCGTTACCTGCTATAGAACCTAAAAAGGACACTGATTAACTCATTGCGTATCTCTGCTGTACATTCACCGGTGTGAAAAGTAAGTATATTATTGATATTTTAAGATATATATCACCTTGTCTATTATACTATATGTATTAGTTTATTATATAAAAATAGTTTTACACTTGTATAAAAACAGTCGCCATAATACAGTACAAGAGATCTCCGATATACATAGGGGTTGGGGTTCCGGAGAGTTGTGACTTTTAATGAAATAATTTATAATGGGGACTTTTCCCCCATAGGAATACATGGAAATGGGGAGTGGATAGCGATCGTGACTGCAGGAATCCATCCTCTTTGGTTCTTTCGGTAAAGTCACATAGGTAGAAATAAAATTAAACAAATCACAACGTTTCGATCGCAACACAAACGACCGCTTGTGTTGCGATCGAAACGTCGAGATTTGTTTAATTTACTTTTATTTCTAACTACGTGACTTTACCGAAAGAACCAAAGAGTATAGCATAAACATTGCCTTTGCGAGGCAAAGCGAGGCAATATTTCCCCAACAATGGAATTAGGTAGGGATAAGGGACCGTAGCTCAGGGAAATGTTGTGTTTCATACCAAGCAACCACAATACTTACCTTATGTACAGAAAACCATGTACTATACTGTACAACACAATGTATACATTTATAACCGTTAAACAGCATTTATACTGATCAAACACTTAATTTAAAACCAATTTTATGAGCATTTAGATGCAGCCCTGTACACTTTAAAAGTTTTCCTTCATTAATATAAAACGTATTTGTTAAAATTTTAAGCAATGACTCAAACAGAAAGCCATTTTTAGTATAAAAAAGCACAACATCTTATACAGCATAAAAAAAAATGTCTTAACCTATGATTTTTATGATCTTACCTTGCGAAGTTGCGACAATATTTAGCGACTAAGTCCGCGCCGATTACAAAGAGCACTCGGTACACGCGCGAGAGAACACGATGAGACTTAATAGATGGCGGCACTTGGCGCAAGTTGTACAGTACTTCTACACCCCCCCCCCCCCTCCCAGAGCCGACTTCAGCCAAGTCGAAAATGATCATTTAAAACTATAATCGTCACTGGTATTGGCCGTGAGCGGCAATCGAAGTCCGCGCGCCGGGCTCATAACGCAGCACGCTAACCGCTACGTACTCATGCACAAATGTTTTCGACTCAAAAACGACATAAATTCGTTGACATTTTACGTTGTGTTCCTCAAAAAATCGGCATTGTGAGTGCGCAACAACTTATATCGAGACAACGTATATCGGGGACCCCCTGTATGTGGGAAAGAAAATATGAATCGAGGACACAGGAAAGACTAGCCAGTCAGGGATGCTAATGCTTGGGCTCCATCTGGCACCATTACACGTAAAAAAACGTGGGGCTTCATTGCTAAGTTTAAAAATGTCGAGTACGTTATGGCGGGGTACACAGAACGTTCAACGGAATTTGGTATCAATAACTTGAGTACGTTACAGCAAAATTACGTAAACTGGGAGGGTGTAAATCAGCATTTTACTGGATGTTGGTGCTAATCTGTTCGTGTGTGTGTGACCCATGTGCTGTGCAGGTGCTCATGGGACAGGTCCCCGACAGGGGTGGCCGTCCCCGGGAGATGGGCCCTCCCGCTGCCGACATGCCCTTCTGGCAGAAACGGCAGAACGACCCACGCGGAGGCCGTGGTCGAGGAGGCGGTTGGCAGGGGGGCGGCCGGGGGGGCCAGGGTGGGGGCCAGGGTGGGTGGCAAGGCGGTGGCTACAGTGGTGGCCGTGGGGACTGGGGTGGGGGTGGCCGTGGAGGGCGGCGTGGTCAAGGCAAATGGTGACGTCACTGAAGCTTTCCGTGAGCATGCACCACGCTCCGTTATTGCGTGGAATTTTTATTTTTTCAAGAGTACCACTTGTGATGAATGATCAGCTTGGGTATTTTAATACCACTATAAATTAAAATGCTTCCCTTTAATGTAGTTCACACGATGCTGGTAAAGTGAAGCTGGTATACAAATTTCGACTAATTGAGGACCCTTGTGCAGAGAAGTATTTTTTGTTGCATTTGAACGAGGGGGAGTGGTTATGGAAAGAATAAGTGCAAAAAGTTAGAGACGTCAACAATGGTTTTGCAAAATTTAGTTCGCCCTGCATCCCTCAAATAAACTAGCCGAGTGCAGGGTTCATCGCGTGTGCGATTCCCTCCCTGTTTTTCCAAAGTCAATTGTAAGACATTGCAAGTGTTTCCCAGACGATATATTTTAAAATATTGAGCTGGGCAATGTGTGTTTTTACATTTTCTCCTATCCTGCACACATTTCTTTTAGAGGCTATCAGAATATCTTTTATGTTGGCTTACATAAATTATTCGTCCATATGAAAGAAGAAGATTCTATAAATTGTGAAGTCATGAATTAATTTACTATTGTAGACATTTGTTATACACTGCAAAATCTTATTGAATCACATTTAACAAAGTCGATTTCTTTTATATTTACATTATTTTGAGTTATGACTGTGATTAAGTGTAGCCTGCGTTTGTTGTATTATTTTAAAATATCACTCCGTTGTAGTTGGTCAACATTAAGATACAGTCTATTTCAGTGTTATACGAATGATCAAGTATTGCTGCTGATGAATGGCTGTAGAGAATTGAACCATTGTTTTTCACAGCATATAGAGCATTATAAAGTTAGGCCCTAATCCACTGCGCTTGCCCCGTCTTAGTTGTGTTTTGTTTACTGAATGGAGTACACAGACACACAGCAAAGCCTCCTCGTGCTGGGCAGGACGACAGCACTCGGTAACAGATCTTGGGTCAGTTCATGTCCGCACCGTTCATTTAACCAGGTGAGAGCATGTCAGATTTCAGTACTATTTTTGAAGGATATGGAGATGCCTTCATCCAACAGTGGACTGATTATGGCTGGTGATGATAATTTAGAAAATAGGTAGTCATTTAAGTGGGAATACTATTTTGTATTTGAATATTTTGTATTTAATGTGTGCCGACACTTGCAGATAAACAGCTTGTGAGTGCTGTGATCTCTGACATCCACGATACAGCAGTCACTTTGCTCTCGGAAATCGACAGGTCACTGGAGGAACTGAACGGCCAACTGCAGCAGGGGTGGCACAGTGCTTGGGTTTGCTTCCCAACTCGGGTTCCTTTCTGCGTAGAGTTTGTATGTTCTCTCTCCGCCTGTTCTGATTTTTTTCTCTGAGTTCTTCGGTTTTCTCCTGTCGCTAAAATAAACTGGTATTGGCCAAACATCCCAATTCTGAAAGATTATATTAAGATTATTCAATGGGGATTACACAACTTTTTAGGACACTCCTGAAAAAGAATTGAAACTCGGTGAAACTTTCCTGGGTAAACAGGCGTAAATAAATACTAAGTAAACTTTTATTTTACCAGGTAAAGCCCACTTAGCAATTTTTTCAGAAGTGATCTGGCCACAAACGAAAGCTGAAGTGGCTTATCACGTAGAAATGTATCGCAGCCAAATTTTCTAAACTTGTTTTTAAATATGGAGGGAAAAACCAGAGCACCTGGAGAAAAATCCACACGACTACTGGGAAACTCCAAATATACAGGCGTCAGTGTTGGGATCGAACCCACAACCTCCTGTATACCAGGCAAGGTAGTTAACATGTCACCACTGTGGCGCCACATTGTCTCAGTGAAGAGACTTGACCACTGCTGTGAGCCACGGAATACAACAATGTTACATCTTTGACACATCTTAATGTTGCCAACAAGTTTTGTCTTCAATAAGAGGGCATAAAGATTGTCTCTTGTATTCTGTCAACAGATCCTGTAGGCAGGGTGTGAACAACTTTCGGAAATGGAATATCTAAATATTTTCACCTGAAATGAGTAAATCTGTTAGCGTGGCGTCGTGATGAACTGTTCACAACAGTTGAAACCTCATCTTTCAAGCAGAGTTTGGCGACATTCTTTTGAGTGTGAACGTAAACCCTATGCACACGGGGACGATGCTTGAAAGTAACGTTTCCTTGAAGCTGTGCTTCAGAAGGTCAGGTTGCTGTTCATCTCATTCTAAGTGACTTTCTTAGGAGCACCATTTGAATAGCTGCCTTATTCATTCAATAATGTTCCAGGTTTTATTCTCACCCCATAAACTTGTAAACCCGTTATTTGCATCTCTATTGTTGTGTAGACCTTTCTCCTTGGTGTGATCATTATTTAATTAAAGAAATAATTATCTCACACTGCTACAAGAAACAAACATGGTTATGCATTTTTGTAAAGCTGAATTGTGTAATGACATCACAACAGTCTGTTTCTATAATTTATCCGATGTTTTCCAAATGAACATTAAACATGCAAAGTGCATTCCTTATTGGCTCGACCATTTATTTGTACCAATTCCTTGGCTTGCAATCTGAATTTCTGGAGTTTGACTTTGCAGAGGAAGAGAGATGGTGAGGATAGTTTGGGTTATAATATGAAACTAGCTCTAGTAGCTGCACAATAATGATTTAAGCCCAACATCAATCTCAATACTTATTTTGTTTGTTGACAATGCTGAGCTTCTTGCCTGCTCATGGTTGTATCGCGAGCGACATCTTGGAATCCAGTCTCACAAGTCTCAAGTCTGGATCTCGAGAGAGAGAGAGGTCTGGACTCGCAAGCAGGTGTAACAAAAAAAAATACTCCTGTAGCATATGATGCAAAAGCATGACTTTAGCCACAACAGTGACTATTATCGTACACAATGGTGATGTGCTGCTGTTATCCAGACAGACAGGATACAGCATAACAAACGTGCACATGCAGTGTTTGACACCTGCTGTTATCACACGCTTTCAAGGTGCTTTGTCCGAGGGTATTTTAAAATGTAACCCTTATTGTATTTTGTTCGTCTTTAAAATGTATTTGTTATGAAGTTCGATATTCGGCATAATAAAATACGATTACAGTTTGAGAGCATGGTTTATTTTTTATTATTTTATTCATGCAGGACTATAGAGACAACACATTACTAATCAAGCAATATATATCTATCCACTGTTGGATCAAGGCTTTCCCAAGCTGTCGGCATCTCTCATACCACACAACACGAGTTATCTAATACCATCAGTTACTAGAACCTAGAGTGTTGCACAAGCAGGGCACGTGTGTGAACTATAGAAAAAGACATCTCACCATCATCAGTCTCACCCGAGTGTATGACAGGGAGTTCCACAGTGAGTGTGTGAGATGGGGAGAGAGTTCCACAGTGAGTGTGTGTGATGGGAACAGAGTTCCACAGAGAGTGAATGTGAGAGTGAGAAGCATGGAGAGGGCTCTGCGCTCGGTGTGATGTGAGATGGGGACGGAGCGCGTCGCTGCTACTCGGCGAGTGGCGGGATTCTCTCGAGCTGCAGCTGGAAGCCCGTGGTGGAGCGGTTGACGACGCGCGGCACGGGCTGCGCCTCCACGGGGCCCGGCAGCACGCGGAACCGTGAGAGAATCAGGGCGAGCGTCACGCGCAGCTCGTTCATGGCAAAGTGCTGCCCAATGCAGTTGCTGGTGGGGGCGGGGGGGCACGCAGGGTGAAGGGAGTCATGGTCACAATCACAATTTTATCATCGCTTACATTACCAAAGTCAACCATGAAATCGGTCTGTAGTAGAGCCGTGCTATACAATTATGTGGATAAGTTCCAGCTCAATAAATAAAACATTGCTGTGGCTGTAATGCGACACATAATGAATATGGGGCACGCAATGCTTTGCGAGAATATTTCTTCATGAGGATGCAAGTGCAGCCCAGGGAGGGGTCTGTGTTGGGCAGCACCACTCCTCTTGTGTGGTGCCATCGTTCCCTTCAGATCTCATTGTACAGAATGTTCTATTGTTCATTAATGTGATGGCTCTTTCATTGGCAGATTTGAGCCAGAAAGGCGCCACGTGTGTCAGCAAAAAATAAAATAAATATTTATTTGATGGTTCTCCGCACTCACTCATCCAGGCAAGACAAATATCCCTATTATAGCCTTAAATAGACTTGGGGTGACTGCTGTTAGCGAGCACCTATGGATCACCAGCACTACACGCAACTGCCTATGTCTCCCCAGTAGCGATACTTACTGCACCAGGTACTAATTTGAGGCTGAGTCGACTTAGCAGAGGCCCAATACCTATTCAATTAATTGTCACCGGTGTTGGCCGTGAGGGGGAATCGAACTTGTGTTGCAGGGTTCATAGCGCAGCACACTAACCGCTGTGCCACAGCTCCCCACCCATCCAGGGCAGGCACCGACACTATCACCCACGCAGGCTTCAGACACGTTCACTGCTTTCATAATCATAATCAGTTTATGCTTGGTTATGCTTGGAGCCTCAGTGGTCTCACGAATCAGGAGGCGATGTTCTTCCTGTGTGTAATCGCTCATTGAGTAATTTCTCGGTAAGATATTTCAGCCTTGGGATGTTTGACCAGTGTCAGGTACATTGTGTCGTCGTTTTTTGTCCCGAGTCTGGAATTAAACCCTGGAAACTTCTTGCTGCAAAGCAGCGTGACTTATTTTAAGTAAAAATGCGCAGTCCTTTTTAAAAATCAACTGTCCGATGAAGGCATCATTTGAGTGGGGGGAGTTACTTAACAATACTTCGACAGACTAGGCAACGTGGGTTGGTGAAGGGGAGAAGGGGACAGGTATGGTTTATTCTTGATTTGAAGCTTTCGTGACTGCAGGAATCCATACTCTTTGGTTCTTTCGGTAAAGTCACGTAGTTAGAAATAAAATAAAACATAACTTCAACCGAGAAGATGGATACAAATTGAGCAATCATTGGAATGATGTTATTAACCAGGTAAAACCTTAACTGTTTATGGTTGTTTTCTATCATATCTGCCGGGTACTCGTCTATTTTTCCGAGTTAATTTCCCCCCGCATCCCCAGCTTTACCCAGCCTCCCACTTCCAGCCCCGCCCACTTCCCCCCCGCCTCACGTCCACTCTCTTCCCCAGCGCTCACGCAGCGCCCCCCTACCCCACCCCCCTCTCTCTCTCTCCCCCCTTGCTCCCCCCCCTTTCTTACCTATATAACCTCTTGCCACGGCAGCTCTCTCGCCCACTTCAGTATTTTTTTCTTGCTGTGGTTGACACACCTGATGAAGATTGCTTGTGTTGCAATCGAAACGTCGTGATTTGTTTTATTTGATTTCTAACTACGTTACTTTACTGAAAGAACCAAAGAGTAGGTATGGTTTATAACTCCCCATTGCCAATTATTTTATTTGTGTTCGGGAATCGAACTTGGGTTTCTGGGTTTGTGTGCAATGCGTTAACCACTGACCCATCGCTCCCCCCCCCATGTCCCTTGCAGGCTGATCGCGTCGCGGGGCTTCATATTTTGTGTCGTAACGGCCCGAGTTTGCCTGTGGAGACGGTGGCGGTGAGCAGGAGGGTTTAACGCTCACCGGGGCCCGGCCGAGAAGGGGATGAACGCGTAGGGGTGGCGATTGGCTGCGTTTTCAGGAGAAAATCTCAGAGGGTCATAAACCTGCGGGCAGATGCACAGGCGAGTTAAAATTACATTGACACATCCAGTGACTTCATGTGCACGCGTACGCACACACTGATCACCACCTCCGTCTCTATTACCCTGCTGGGGAAAGTTATTTAAGTGAGCACCTGTTGTACACTCGAAATGAAGGACGTGGGAAGGTGCTCCAAATCAAGGGCAGACACATTTATTGTGGTTAATAGCAAGCTTGTGAAGAACAGCACCGTCACTCTGTAGAATGCACCAGCATGTGTGTCACACACAGCAATTCTTCCGAGTCGCCATTAACCATGTCGCTGGTGTCCAAGTCTGGTTAATCTTAACAGTTTTCTCTTAAACCCAATTCTACTACTGATAAACCATCTTTGTCTTTGACAATCACATTTGCACATCACTATTCGAATATTCCTTTAATAATGAGCTGTATGTCTATCTATACCATCCACTTATATCGGTATCTTACACCCATTATATGTACTGTATGTGTACAGTATACGTACTGTATGTGTCACCATTGTACAACTTACTATTTTACATGTGTTCTATTTTCAATAGCATTGCAAGTATTCATACTCTGGGTACATGGGCATGGTTATAGACTAAACAGTATTAGGGTTAGAGAATTACAATGACAGTAGGTAATTACAGTGCATCATCCCTTTACCATGCACAGTGCTAAAACCCCTCTAATTGCATATATCACAAACGAACAATTCAAAGCCAAGATTAACGTCTAGAACAAGTCTAGAGCAAGTCTAGAACATTTATATAATGATCAAAAACAACCTTTGGGTCCTTTACTTGTAAAATGCACCAGCACGTGTGTCACACACAGCAATTCTTCCGAGTTGCCATTAATCATGTGACAGGTGTCCAAGTGCGGTTATTCAATAACCCTGGCAGCCACCTACAGGCCCAACTCAATCATCACATGCTGCTGTACACACATGCATTGATGTACTGCACAGCACATCAGGACTTTCACAGAACCACACTTTACTCCCTTGCTGCAGAAGGATATAATTAAAAGAGTGGTCCCTTCCTAATGTGCCACACACCTATTATTAAGTTGATAGCAGGTTGGTACAGAGCTCCATTCCCAGCCATCTAAGTGTTAGGACGCCGACACATGATCCTTATGGCAGTACCCCGGGGTACCAAATAATACAAAATGGCCGAGGCAATTAAATATTTTATTTCTGGGACACTATTTTCCCCAGGGGTGGACTTAACTCCACGACTGGGGTACCAATCAATCCGAAATCAGTGCTACTCCGCGATGTCAAAACGCCAAATAGCATGAAAAAATCCGTTTTCAAAAAATTCTACTTTGAATAGTGCATTGGGTACAGTTCGTCGAGGTGAGTCGATTGCCGCATCGCTGACCATCAACAAACTAAAAATGACTTCATCACGGACATTATGTGGGAGCCGGTGTACTATGGTACCCCAGGATACCGCCATAAGGTTCACATGTTGCACTCGGGAGCCTTTGATTTGACACAGCACCAACACTAGGCCCGACTACTTTGCTTGTCTCTTTAAGCTCGTACCCTCCCCTTGTGCTCTCTCCTTTTATACCTTTCGAGCCAATTCTCTCGAAGCTCCACACCGCTCTCGACCAATCATCGTCCTTCTTCCCTCAATGGTTGTCAACCGTCGCCTCAACACTCAACTTTCGCTTCCCCCCTTTTTCAGTTTGAACCTCCACCTCCAATCCCTTTGAACCTCGCCTCCCGACCAATCACTGTGGAGCCCTCTCTGCACCAATGGGAAGCATTGGCCTACTTCCTTGACTGTCTGCTGGTATGTTTGCTGCAGGTGAGTTGTCTGTTGTCTCGTTTATTACAGAAGTTTCCCAGGTTTTACGCCAATGCACACACGACAGAATTACCATCAGTAAACCTGAGGGGGGCCCAGGTCTCTTAAGTTTACTGAGACTAATCACCTCTGGTGTGGATGTCCAGGGGTTAATACTGGAATTTAGCTGGTGGTGAGGCAAGTTGGCAAATACTGTACTGTTTAGCCAGCACCTGATTAGGACAGCCTGGCACAAGAGGGGGTTCTGTGGCCACCAGCATGCCGTGCTACCTTTACCCACCCAAGTGCTGATGATAACACACAACACTGGGCATTAATTTACGGCTGAGTTGACATCGGAGCGATCCAGGACAGGTTCAGGCATTCCTTGCTTGATGCGGCAAGGAATCTAACCCAGGTCACCAGGTGTGTAGTGAAGTGCACAAACCCAATTCTGCTGCTGCTGCCCGGGTGCTTGCGGCCAGGCCCCACGCACGCGGGACTTCGGCTGAACAAACCAAGCGGTGTGAACAAGCAATGCCTCCCCTCTTCCCTGGAGAATGGGGGACCATGCCGAGAACTTCTCTTGGCTTGGATTGACAAACTAATTGTCTCACCCAAATGTCTCCAGTACTGCGGTGGCACTCACCAGCAAAAGGGAGTGCTGATTGGTCGACTTTCCAGGTCAATCGACTCGAGTTCTGCACCCACTGTGCTACGATCTGCTGTGGAAATGCCGACCCCTACCTGACCGTGTTCGTCACTTGTTGCAATGCATCCCACATTATTATGCTGCAGATCTCGTCAGTTTTTCTTCGACCCTACATCCACACGATCCAGAAAGAGTGCCTTCATCGCCATATTGCTGATGTCAGGTATCAAGCCAAACCGTGGATCAGAGCTCAACTTTGGATTTGTAAACGCATGCTCCCTAGATAACAAGATGGCATTGATCCAATATCTGATCAACAAATGTCGACTCGACATTTAAGTTAAAGTTAGATATGGATGCCTCGATAACCTCTAAAAATGCACGCGAGCAGTGCACATGTGGTTTGCCAACACGGTGGCGTGTCGCATAGTGTGACGAGGCGAAAGTTGATGGTTACACCCCTGGCTTACCACTGTGGCAGTTCTAGCTGGTGTGACCGATTTTAGGAGTATGGGTGTGGGAAGCCCAATTATGCAAATTTACCTGCCATAAAAGGGGGAATAAAGAAGGGGTTTGGAGGCACTTGACGTGAAGAGAAGGGAGGAGTGGGGCCAGAAAATAGCAGCAGCAGCCAGGAGCTGGAAGCCTCTACCCACCGCAAGAGTGTGGAGGCACCACACCAAGGGGAGGCAGCAGGGCTCTGCGTGCTGTTGGTGGGGAAACACCACCCCAAGGGAAGCCACCTGCTCTGTCTATAGCTGCAGAGTGGTCACACCAGACCAAGAGAGCCAGCCTTGCTTTAATTACTGCTACAAGGTGGACACGCCAATGGAGCCACCAGTGCTCTACCTACTGTTAGACTGAGGAGACACCACTCCAAAGAAGGCACGAAAAGCTTTGCATATTGCTACAGGCCGACTGGGACACACAGGACCGTGAGACCCTATAAACGGGCGTGCTTGTGGGTGTATAAGGGTGATAGTCGTTCGGGTGCGTTTCGTGTAAAAACTGGTTCCTTTTCTTCATTAAGTTCCATATAGAGCGCACAAGTCAGACAATAATTGTGGGGTTCTGCCTTTCTGTATGCATGAAAGTATCGCCTATAAAAGAGTGGCAAAACGACCAACCCGCCTGGTGTGTTACATCCCTCCCCAAGGAATCATACTTCCCATAAAGAATGCAACTATTCCGAATCATTACTCATAGTATTGACAAAGCTTGATTTTCGGAACTCACTACTCTCCAGGATGTCTGAAAAAAACATTAGCAAGCTACGTGTACAAAATTCTTTGGCATGTGTCGTGACGGGCACTGTAAAGTCCAACAATGTTGGTCCGGTGCTCGCTTGCGCTGCATTGGCTTCTGGTTGCTGAACAAATACATATAAGATCGCACTCATTACACACAAAGTGCTTGCCACAAATGAACCACGATATTTTGCTGATTTCAAGGTGCATAAACCATCATGCAAACTCTGGTCATCCTCGCAGTGGCTTTTGTATAACCACTGCATAACGCGTATTCAAATGCGCTTCTGCAGCCGTCTGCAATGCTCTTCATTTTTAGAACAGTTTCTTGTGTTCAGTTTGTTGTCCTTCCCCCGCACCTCCAATTTTCATGGCTGGCTATGTACAGTGCGAAAGAAGTTCAACGTACATACATTTCATACACGTGCAGTATTAATCAGGACGGCCGCTGGATTTGAACCGTTAACTTCTATGTATGTTGTATGTATGTTCAACTTCTTTCGCACCGTACATAGTCAACCGTGCTAATCGGACGTGCAGGGACGGATAACAAACTAAACACAAAAATAACTTATGTAACAAGCGGAAAACGCGCTACCGCTGAGCTGCATCACTACGTTCTCTCCTTTGGCAGTCATTGCATCACCAGTCTCATTAATCGGGCAATACATCTTTCAGACCCAAGCCTACTTTCTTCAAAGTCAATATGCATCTTATTTTCAATAACTCTGCAAGTGGGGCTTAAGTTTAAAATCGTCACAATTGCATTGTATTTGTTATTCAAAATCATGAAAATATCCTAAAATTGTCATGCTCTGCCTATATTTGTTTCAGAAGGAAGGAATGTGAACATGGACAAAACAATCTTCATGTCGAGGCTACGAATGTATTGAATCTGCACGTGCAGGTCAAATACAGAGGCCAGGTGAGTGCATTTCACACATGCGACACTGCCATAGTTCAATGAAGCAGCGTGCACACTCGGAGGCTGGAGACAAACCTCTGGGTCCTTCCAGAACTCTGGGTTTCTGTGCAAGCAGAAGATGTTGATGAAAACTCGGGTTCCTGCACGTTTGCACAGCACAGGGGTTGGGAGGCAAAGATACATGAACGTAGAGTTGCTAAAGTTTCCCAAAATGTGTAGTTACACAGCTCCCCATCATGGTGCAACTGAGAATAGAATCACATGGGCCAGGGGTCTGCGACTCCAGACCTTGTTCCGGAAGTCCATATGGAGTGAAAGTGGCAAAGATACAAATATGCTGCGATGCCACTTTAAGGGATGGTACGCGACACGAAGAACTTCAGGATTGGACAGCATGAGTCAAGGACCAGCCATTTAACAGAAGAATAAAGACACGTAAACTACAGTATGGTATAAAAAAATAAACCTATTATCATATCATATTTTCTACCTACGTGACTTTACCGAAAGAACCAAAGAGTATGAATGCATATATTATCAGAGTATTGTGGTTAATGCGGACATAATTCCTTGTAAAAGGTTTCAGTTTGGTGTTTTAACATCTGAACACTTGTTTAATTCTCAGAAAAAAGGGGAAAAACCTATTATATTTTGGTACTGGCAAAGGAGGTCACATGATGTAGATGCTCACCCCGAGCTCTCATTACTCTGATAGTGCATTGTCTTTGAGCTGTACGCCTTTAGGTGTCCTCTGGTCTAACACCGTTTGAGACGAGGCTCAAGATAAGGCTGGTGTGGACCAATCAGTTTCAAGCACAATGCATATATTATCAATGTATATTTTTTGTTTGCATTCTGACCACAAGCATCGTGGTTAATGCAGACAATATTCCTTGTAAAAGGTTTCAGTTTGGTGTTTTAACATCTTAACACCTGTTTTGTTGCCAGAAAAAAAGGGGAAATAGCTATTATCATACAGTATGGTAATTTAGTTTTTACAGTTATTCTAACCTACAAAGGTTTTATTAACTGGGACTCCAACCCACAACTCCTCGCCGGGACCCTCGTCCATCGCTCGCATCCCTCTCCCCGTGTCACTCACTCCACCGCCTGTCCACTCCCAATGGGCCTTGGAGTTCGAGTGTGCTCCGGACTTGTAAAAATGTGGCACCAGCCGTGGACAGAGTCGGCGCAAAGTGACAACAAACACGGGGTTGAAAGAAGACTAGGTAAAGCGTTAGGATCTGTGGGAGGGGGTGGGAGGCTAGAAATGTCAGCTCGCTGAAGTTAGGCCAGAGTCGAGGAGGCTAGGAGCTAAGACCTGTGGGGATGACGCGCCCGTCGCACAAGGCGATTGGTTTGCTCGTCTTCCTGGAGATGGCGGGCACCGCGGTCTGCAGGCGCATCGACTCCTTGATGCACATGGTGGTGTAGGACAGCTGGGAAAGGTCGTCCCTGCAAGGGGACATGCATGCACGGTGATTGCAGATCACAGTCCAACGTCAGTTTGTGTCCTGTTTACCTCAGGTCTAAGTCAGCTGAAAATTGGGCATCATATTCGGGCTCAATGCCTGAACGCGAGTGTTGCTCTTGCCCACTGAGTTGCACTGCCTGGCAATGTATATTTTATTGTACACGTTGATTGCAAACAATGAAGAACAAAACGGCTTCCAACATTTTTAATATTCTGTATTTCTAAAACTTTTCATCAAATTGCTCCTGAATGTGAAAAGGCGCAGCCCTGCAGTTTCTAGCTCACACGACTGCTGGCAGAGCAGCCTCCAGGAGAGGGAGCTCTCGAGAGCCCTTCCAGGCCTTCTCTCTCACGATGGCCAGACGTCTTGATGAAGGTTCCTTCGTGTAGACAAAAGTAGATATATGAAATGTTTCTCCATATCTGTGGTTCTTAAACCTGTGGGTCGTGCTCCCCTGGGGTGGCACACACTGTGGCATGGATACCGTGCAATAAAAATGCAGAAAATATTTAAAACTAGCACAGGGAATGTCAGTACCCTGTTGTGGTGACAAATTCACTCATGCACAACATGAAATAAATTACTTATGAACACAAAACTCACAAGGACAAGGCATGAAATAAGTGCCTTATTAACAGTGGTCTTGATTTGGGGCACCACGCCAAAAATGTTTATAACTTTTGCTCTAAATAAAGCAATCCAAGTAAATATTTAATCCAGGCGGTCCATTGACATTGACCCTGAAGAACAGATTCTGCTACTGCAAATATTGTTTTGTCATCAGCCTCTAACAAGAAGGAGACATTGATGGGTTGAGAGAAACACAATGAAATAAATCCAACTGATTCACAAAATCAGCCTGAAAACCTTTCTCCTGGAGAGTTTCAGGAGTCATCTCCAGAAAGAAGCTTTGTGTTCTCTTCACTTGAGAGCGTGCAGAGTGCTTTCCATGTTGCATGCCAAACCTCTCACCAGGTGAGGAAGGTTCGGCCTGCAAGCAGGCTTGTGACCTCGGCACGGCAAGCATCCTGGTGGTGAGGGTTGTGAGCCATGGCATGTAGGGCCCAGGCCAGGCCACTGGCTGTAGTGTCATGGCCAGCAAACATGAAGGTATCCACCTCGGCCTGTATGTCCTCCTTGGTCAGCCCATTGCCCTTGTCATCCTGAAAAGTGGGGAAGCCGGTCATTGCAAATAATTATTCATAACCATTGTGACCTACGTGCAACCGAGAGGCCACAATATCCATGCCATCAATGCTCTTCACGATCGGACGCTCACCCGCACGCTGAGCAAGATGTCGAGGAAGTCAAGGTACCGCTTTGCTTTGATCTTCTCCAGTTCATCTTCCCCACGCAAGGCCTCCTTGCGTTCTTTGATCACTTTAGCTGATTAGCAGTACACATATACACACGCACAAAAATAATATTCTACATTTAGCCTTAGACTTCTGTGACGCATGTTATTTGCAGAGTTGTGACCTGCACTTCACTGATCACCCTCTACGTTTACGGGGTTCCTATTTTCTGGCAGATAAAGGCAAAGGTTTTTATTTTTAAGCTGTCTATGAGTAGAGCGGAGACACTGCTGTTGGTACACTGCACCGTGACCCTCACCCCTATCGTCTTATCATGCGAGGCAGGGTGTCTTAGTCTGCGCACATGATAGTTGGCGTGCCTGTGCGCCCACCATACCTGTGTGTTCGTGTGCGATGTTACACGCCTTGCGAAAGCGGAATCCCAGTGGACTCAGGTTGAAGATGACATCAAAGTGGTATGGGAAGATCCGGATCCGACGGTGCACCATTTCCGTGAGATCAAACACCGCCGACACGTAGGAGTTGTCACTGGCCACCAAGAGCGGGGCACAGGGCGAGAGAGGTCACGCGAGTTACAAGACGCCACTCAGTGGCTATTAGCGCACGTGACAGACGGTTGGTAATTTGGGGAAGACCTCTTGACATATGTTTAGGTTGAAGAGAATCGCTATGGGAAATCGCAGGTTGCTATTACATTTGTAGGTAATTTAGGAACCTGGATCATGAGACTAAGGCGTGTGGATGCCTGTGCAGTGAATATAAACATCTTAGCGGTTTAGTGTAAGGTTATGCATCACACTTTGCCAAGGTAATTCTGCATTATGCAATCACTATGATCAATTGGCGCTTTCTTTCGCTCTCTTTTAATGCACGATGGCAACAGCCACGTGTGCAGGAGCTGAATGCCAATGTCGAGGCCTGCGAGTCCCTGCCCCATGCCGCAGTGCTTCCAGCTCTGCATGGCCTGCGCGTGCCCCGCCGGGTCACCTGTCCGTCTGGCAGCTGCTGCGGTAGCTGAAGGCACACTTCATAATACTGTCCAGCATCATGAGGCTGATGTCCTCAAACACGTCAAACAAGTTCTCCGTCTCCATCTTCTTCTCCCATTTGTCCTGTTGGATGCAAGTGAAAGACAAAGACAAAAGATCCCCATATAGCCTTTAATGTAATTTTGCAAGTGAGAAGTGCTCAAACGGACCTCTTTGACTCAATATATTAGGTTACAATTTTTGTTTTGTTTTGTTTTTTCAATTTATTGTTTAGCCTCACAGCACCAGAGGGGCAACCCGGACTTTAAACATGCCTTCCCCTCTGCACAGAAAACCTGGACTTCTGGATTCGGGCCTGCTTCATGAAACTAAAGCCGAGGCCCGTGTTAGTCTGCCCCACACTCCACGTGTTCAATGGCGGAAAGTGCCCCGCGCAAAAATCTAAGGCCTCTTCTCCACTCACGTTCCCAATTAAGGAAAAACCCGAGACCCCTCATAAAGGAACTCGTGGGATGCTACAAGCTCTTCTCAAAAAAGTCAATAAACTCTCCCAATATACCCAGAAGATTAGTCTACTTACAGAGGAAAATACCAACCTATTCCGAGTCCTCAACAAAAAGTTAAGTGGCATCAGTGAGAGTGGAAAAGCAAGATTCCATGATGACATCTTTCCAGGTGGCACTAGAGGAACAGGGGGAGTTCAGCAAAACACATAACGCCAAACTCAATGAGCTAGAGGATGCATTCAACAAAAGAGAGCCGAAAACAACAACTCAAGGTCTTTGGTGTTACAGAGCAGGGAGGTCACAGTTTCCCTAGGAGTCCTCAACTACATCAGAAAGCACCTACCTACCTACCTTCTGTGCTAGCTAACCCCAAGACTCCAGTCCAGCAACCGATACATTCAGACTGGATCATTAAGGCCTACTGGGTTGGAATCAAAGAGGGACAAGGCTCCATGTATACAGGCAACCCGTGACTCTGCCCTCTGTTAATTCTCTTCTCTAATCAACATGGTTGCGCTAAGGATGGCAAGAATTTTAAGGGGTAAAGGTACTCAAATAGAGGGAAACCGGGTTCTCATAGTCCCTGACCTTACTCTCGAAGACTCTAAAAAGAGGAACCTACTTTTCCCCTGCATAGTGGCCTGTTGAACAGGGATGGGCTGCACTCAGTACTGCTTTGCCCATCCAAACTGCGAATCAACATCGGAGGGAGGAGGTGGAATATCCTGACCCCAGGCAAGATGATGGGGTGCCGGGAGATCCAGGAGATTCGACAGGGACCAAGAGTTAATGGAAAACAATGTCAATGGAGTCCCGCCTGAAGCAGCTGGTCGCTGGACAGAGCGGTGTGGTAATTCTGGTCCTGCATCTCCGGCGCCGGGACAACGCGTATTCTTACATGGGCAGTGCAGCACAGGGAACTCTTACGCCCCAAACAACTCTCTTATTTGCCTTCTTGCACCATCCCCTTCCTCTTTATTCCTCCCACTAACTCCCCTCGACCACTCCAGATGGGCCTTGTATTGCGGCTTTGTTCTTTTCCTTCTAGGATCCCTCGTAGTCGAGTGATTTCCCTCCAGGTGTCACTTGTCCGGGTTGTGAGATGGGCCTGGCTGGCCATGGTTCCGGAAGTGGCTGAACAGGCCGATCCAAGACCTGCAGATCTTGATGCAGTGGGGACAGGGACAGTTTATCCTGGAACTCAGACGTGTTGCCTCTGTCTCCGGTGTATGTGTATGTACTTTGAAGCGTGCTCTTTTCCCAGCTATCAATGCTCTTTGTTGGGCCTCAAAATGTTCAGTTCCATTGTTTATTTGGTCCTCCATGACGGTCTATCAAGGCATAGATTTCCCAGTTGTTTGGCTCTATAAGGCTTTACTTGAGGTGTGTTTTAAGGTTGTGATGAAAATGCTTCTTTTGACCTCCAGGGGCACTGGATCCATCCCTGAGCTGGGAAGAAAAGATTTACTTAGGAAGACTTGAGTCATTCATCCTGACGAGGTGACTTGCCCATCTGAGTTAGTGCTTCATGATAGTGGCTTCTGTACTGTATGAGTTGGATCGCTCCAGGACACTTATGTTAGTTAGTCTTTCTTCTCAGCTGATGTTTAGTATTTTCCTGAGGCAGCATTGATGACACTTTGAGGGATTTGCTGTGTTTGCGATAGGAGGTCCAGGTTTCTGCACCATATAATAGGATAGGAATGATAACAGCATTATAAACAACAACTTTAGTCTTGGTGGTAATGTCGTGAACTTCAAAGCCCCTGTTTTTAAGCTTGGGAAAGGCAGCACTAGCTATAGCAATCTGATGTTGTATTTCATCATCAATTAAGACATTGCTGGCAAGATGGTTGCCTAAGTATGGGAAACTGGGAATGTTTCTAGTATTGCATTGTTAGTAGTGATTTTGGTGGGTGGTAGGTGTGCTCCCGGAGCTTGTTGGAAGATGATCTTTGTTTGGCTGGTAATGAGTGTTAGACCCATCCTGCTGTAAGCTTATATCAATATGTAGTGGTTTAAATACATGCTACGCGCGGGAGATTGCACGCACGTGCGAGCGCAGTACAGTGGGGGCATGTGAGGATGGGTGTTGTTGTCAAGGCTCAGAAAGGTAGGCCAGAGATGGGTTGAGGGTAATTAAGGACGCAAGACGGTGATTGGTTGGTGGGTGTTGTTGTCGGGGTCTGGCGCCACGTTGTCGGGAAAAACAACAGGTGGTGGAGGAGGGCTAGGAGCGGGGGGGGCGTCGGAGGGACGCCGATTAATCAATTCGAAGTTAATTGGGTCGGGCATGAAATGCAGGGGAATTGGAGCTGAGGGGAGTTCCCGCCTGGGGAGAGAAGAAGACGGTCGGAGCTGAAGCGGTGGAGAAGAATAGGGTAGCAGTGGAGAAGTATAGGGTAGCAGTGGAAAAGTATAGGGTAGCAGTGGAGAAGTATCGGGTAGCAGTGGAGAAGTATAGGGTAGCAGTGGAGAAGTACAAGGTAACAGTGGAGTGAGCGACGCGTAGAGTAGCATGGAGTGTGACGGCAAAGCCAGCAGAAAGCGGCTGGAGTGTGACGGCGAAGCCAGCAGAAAGTGGCTAGAGTGTGACGGCGAAGCCAGCAGAAAGCAGCTGGAGTGTGACGGAGAAATCGATAAAGAAGCGGCCGGAGTGTGACGGAGAGCCGCCGGAGTGTGACGGAGAGCCGCGGGAGAGCGGCTGAACTGTGACGGGGGAAGCGGAGAGGAGAGTCGACGGAGACGCGGAGCAAGCGAGGCCGGCGGAACGCGGCGAGCGAGCGGAGAGCATGTGGGGCAATGTTAAATCATGTTGGTGAAATAAATTGATGAAAGAAAAGTAAGAAGCTGTCGCGTGAAGTTCAGCACTACATATAAGTTTACTATGGCCTGAAGGTCAGCTTCTGAGCAGGCACTGACTTGGGCATCATCTACATATTGGAATGTGATTGAGGTTCTCGACTTGGCTCTCAAACGGTTGATGTGGAATGTTCCCGTCTGTCCTATATGTGATATGCATGCCTCAGGGGAGTCTTCCCTCTGTCAGGTGAAGCATTCCCACCAGGAAGATAGAGAAAAGAGTTGGTGCAATAATGCCCCCTTGCTTCAGTTCTTACCTTGATTGACTCTGTGGTTTCACCACCTGATAGGATGACAGCCTTCATACCATCATGCAGAAGACGGAGGATGTTTACAAATTTTGTTGGGCAGCCATATTTTAGAAGGATTCTCCATAGTGCTTCACGATTAACAGAGTCAAAAGCTTTAGTCAGATTTAAAAAGGCCATGTACAGTAGTAGTCTGCTCCTGGCACTTTTCTTGGATTTGACGGGCTGAGAAGATCATGTCTGAAGTTCCCCTGCCAGGTCGGAGGCCACTCTGGGATTCAGGAAGGAGTTTTTCAGCAAGGGGTAGAAGTCTGTTTAGGAGAATTCTTGGAAGTATTTTTCCAGAGGTGGCAAGGACAAAGATTCCTCTGTAGTTACCACAGTCTGACTTGTCACTTTTATTGAATATGGTGACAATGATGGCATATTTCAGTTCGTTGGGAAGGTTTTCATCATTACATATCCTGGCCATGAGAGAGTGCAGGTGTTGTCCTCCATGTTTGTAAATCACAGCAGGTATCTGGTTTGGTCCACTGGCTTTGTTCTGTTTCATCTGCTTGACAGCTTTGGCCATGTCAAGTATCGTTAGTTCTTCAGCCTCAGCGGTGGGGTGGTGCGGAATCTCACTAACTATAGAATGCCAGCTCAGCACTCTAATCTCTAAGCTACTCATTGACTTCTGTCATGGAGTAAGTAAAACATTAAAAGAACATTCTTGATTTGAAGCTTTCGTGACTGCAGGAATCCATACTGGTTCAGCAGTTCCACTGCTGGATTATGTTTTCCGCCTGAGAACGTCGTGATATATATATTTTTTCTACCTACGTGACTTTACCGAAATAACCAAAGAGTATTAAAAGAACATGTCTACCAGAAGTTTGACCTTTGAGTCTTCCAAATTGTTGCAAGTTCATCTCAGTTGATTCCAATGACAAATATGTATTTGAGAGGCTCACGGAGTGCCCCGTCCCCCGCGCCACCACCACCGCCACCACTTCCACCACTGCCGCCGCCTACTTGAAGGTTCCACAAGAGGGCGTGGCCCAGAGGCGGGGCCTAGCCACGCCTTGGTGGATAAAAGGGGGAGCGGATCCCCAGCTCGGGGCTTGTGTGTGGGGTCCTGGGTCCTGGCGTGTCGCTGTTCACCGACATCTCTCTCAGTCTTCCAGCCACATGGACAATCTCCTGCATGGGTTCCATCGCCATCGTCGTCACGCCGCCAGCCAGTGGCGGAGACGAGTGAGGGTGAGAGGACCACGCCGAGTGATCGGCTGTGCGTGTAGCCAGTAGGTGTTATTGCCTAGAGTATATTCAGTTGGAGGAAGAACCAGTGTTGGCCTGTGTTGTGCCCAGGGTGAGTAATAAAGAAGAAGTACCCTCTATATGACATGTCGTGGAAGTCGCTCATTACACATGTTTGGGGGTGGGAATATTAAAATTACACATTTGGATTCAGCACCATCCATAGTGCAGTACTAAGAACCATAATTCTTGCCATGGCTACTGCAGGGTAAGTGCCCACAGCATGTGTGACAACTGCGTGAGCTTACGATGAGCACTTGGGTGCTCTCCACCATGAGAGATACGTAGGGCTTCAGAATCTCCATGTGGAAGCCGGGGCTGAGCATGCGGCGACTCCGGAACCACCTTGGACCAGATGAGGTGAGGAGACTCAATCCTGTCCACAAGTAACATAACGTTGGAAGGTCAGTTTGATGATTACGGTGATACGGCATGCAGTGTGTGTTTGTGTAGATGGGAGGTGTTCTGGCTTGGTCAGTGTGTGTGTCTGTAGATGGAGGTGTACTGGCTGGGTCAGTGTGTGTGTTCATGTAGATATGACGTGTGCTGGCTGGGTCTGGTTCACCAGGCTAGTTTAGTCAGTCTGGATGCTTGCGGTTTATGTAAACAGCTCTTGACAATGATGTGCATGACAGGATATTGAATCCAGGTTATGGGAATCATAGCACAGTGCATTCACCACGATATCACTGCTTCAGGAAACCAATTTATCTTCTCTTTCATGTGACTTAGTGAAAAGAAACTTAAAGATCTATTACAGGAATTCCTTACCAACCACGGATTCGCAAACCGCGATTTCATGCACACACGGTTTAATTGTATACCAATTTACCAACCGTGGATTGTAAATTGAAGTATCTACGGGTAAGCAAGGTGGTAATACGCCATTGCGTGACGTCATTGTTACAAATTTAGCGGGCCTGTGGTTCTCCACGTTTCGCAGCACCACCCATGGCGCTGCGAAGCTGATCAGCTGCCTGTCGATTATCCTGTGATTCTTGCAGAGCATAGACCGGCCGTCGCATGGCAACTACATTCACGTTAATTGTGCCCTTGATCATGCAGCGAGTCGCAAAAGTGAGAGTGTTGCGTCTGTGGCCCAGAAGAAGAGGGGGAAGGTGGGCTGAGCCCCTACTTCTAACTACTCCTTCCGCCACCACATCTCATTGTCATCGTCATCATCATCGTTAATATAAAAAAATATGTACAGTGAATGTAATGTTTATTTACGTTTTATTACGTGCTTGTGAATTTGTTGAGTGGTCTCTGGTGCGTCTTGCAGGATTTGTAAACTCACCGATCCATGGAATGATGAATACATATCCGAGGTCATTCTTTGGTTCTGAACAAAAACACACATGAGGTGCATACAGCAAACACAGGAATTTCCACGGTAACAAAAAATAACTTGAACCACCCTATGGACTTGCTGCTCACATGTCCATACCTCTCTCAGAAGATGAAGTCGTGTCCTTTGTTTACCAGGCTCCAAAATGTATAACACTGTAAAGTGCATGTTTCCCTCACTTTATGCGGTTGATGTGTTCCAAAAAAAAGGGCGTACAAAGCGAAACGGCTGTCTGCCGAGTAGCATGTACAGTACACACAGTACCCACGAGAATGTTGTACCACTTTTGAACGTATAGCCACATCTGAGTGAATAAAAACGGCATAGAGCAATTTTTCACACACCCTCTCACATGCTCACATGCCGGTGAGAATGTGAGCGGGTGTGTCTGGAGGGTAGAGAAACTGGGGCAAGGGTCATGGAGGGCCCTATCTGGAAGCCCCTGAAACCTGCGAGTGGGTTCGAGAAGGGAGGTGCGGCCAGGGCGGAGCCAAGTCGTGCTCGTAGCATAAAAGGGGCCGAGAGCGGGAGCTCGAGGCTGCCGGTTCTGGTATTGGATCGTCTCGTCACTGTCGTCTTGTTGCCATCGTCGCTGCCGTCTTCACTCGATATTGCGCTGCTAGATAGTTGTTGGCTGTCTCCGTCAACGCCGTCGGTGTTAGACGGCTAGTGTTGTGTATACGCTAGCGACTGTAGAGTCAAGCAGGTGAGATCGTGTGTGTGCAATAAAGGTCCCTCTACAAACCTCGTCTCTGACTCACTGACACTACACCTGTATGGATATTTCGGCTGCATGAGCTGTCTGGTATTGGGTCGAGTGGGACTGGGTGATGGGGCTAGCTGTGTTTAGCATTGAAATGCGCTTTGATCAGGATCGGAATTACTTTGCAGTCGGTGGCAAATCCATGTTCTTATGGCGGGGGCATGTCAGTTGCACAGAACAAACACGGCTGACGTCCGACAAAGTGGTATTTAATTTTACTCGGTAAAGTCACGTAGGTAAACAAAATAAAGTAAAATAAAAATGAAAAAACAACTCAATTAAATCACGACGTTTCGGGCGCAACACAAACGTCCGTCATCAGGTGGGGACAAACACAGCGAAGACAGTTGCTAAAATATGTCAAAGAGATAGCGCTAACACGGGTTTATATAGCTGAGGGGGGGTGGGCGGGAAGGAAACGAGGGCAGGGTGAGTATGGGGGCGGGGCGTGGGCTGGGGGAGCCAATCCCAAAGCTGGGCATACAGCTCATGTCCCACGGGTGGGGGGGCAGGGAAGCAGGGGAGAGTGGACTCGGAAAAAAGTGGTGCACGATTAGGAAAGCTGCACCTCAAATTTCCTAGTGATGTGCAAGGCTGGGAGTAAAAGACTGTTGATGTGGATGTGAATATAAACTGTAAGGCAGCTAGGGTTTAACTTGGTTGATCACATCCTTCCAATAATTGCTCAATTTGAGTCCATCTTCGCGGTTGAAGTTATGTCTATGTTTGTATATCTGGATTGCCTCATGGACAAACCTTTGGTGGTATCCAGACGGCTTGCAGAGCACCTTGGTCTCGGAAAAGACAATATGAGAGCCCACAGCATTATAGCAATGATCAGCAACGGCGGAGGAATTCGTCCTGCCGTGTTTCAGATCTGCCTTGTGCTCGCGGACACGGTCAGAAACATGATGTTTCGTTTTGCCAATGTAACAATCACCACGGATGCAACTTAATACCAGGGTATTGCAAGTCAGGAATGACATCTTTCACAGATGGGATTAGATCACGGATTTTGTGTACTGTACTGAATCGGACCTGGATCTTTTGTTTGTTTAAGATTTTGGAAATCTTTTTAGTAGCGCCTGCTATGTATGGTAATGTGATGGTTTAGATGGGAGTCTCAGGGGGTTGTTTCTCCATGGTTTGAGAAACAGCTTTTGCGGATAGTACGGTCAGAATATCCATTCATCTTAAGGGCCCGGTGTACATGTTCCAATTCACTGGCCAGGTGGTGTTGGTCAGAAATGCAGTGATTCCCTATGGTGTAGTGTTTTTATGAGGGAATTCTTCTGTGCTGGGTGGTGGTGGGAATCAGGTTTCAGATAGGAATCTGTGTGGGTGGCCTTCCTGTAGACACAATGTCCCAACGAGCCATTGGGCCTCCTCTCAAACAGAACATCCAAGAATGGTAGCTTGCCATCCTTCTCCACTTCCATGGTAAATTTGATGGATGGGTGTATGGAATTAATGTTGTCGAGAAATTGGTTTAATGCTGGTAGGCCATGTGGCCAAATGACGAAAGTGGCATCCACATATCTCTTCCACAGGGAAGGACGCAGGTTGGATGTCTGGATGGCGTCTGTTTTAAATTTATCCATTAAAACATTGGCTATCACTGGTGACAAGGGGGAACCCATGGGGGTACCCTCATTTTGTTTGTAGAAGGTACCATTCCAGGTGAAGTACGTGTTGGTGAGGCAGTGCCTAACCAGCGCAGGGACAGAGTTCAGTCCATGTTGGGCTAAGTATTCAATTATTGTTATGGTGTCAGGCACTGGAACCTTGGTGAATAGAGAGACCACATCAAAACTGACGAGGACATCATCAGGGGACAGTGAAATGTCCTTGACTAGAGAGACCAAGTGAGTTGAATTCAGTACTGTTGAAGTGGTCTTGCCAGTAAAGGGAAGCAGGGTGTCCGATAGAAAACGGGCTAGTTTGTAGGTAGGTGAGTTGATCGTGGACACGATGGGCCGTAGTGGGGTACCTTCTTTATGGATCTTGGGAAGACCATAGAATCTGGGTGATCTGGCAGCCGAGGGTTTTAGGGAGAGCCGTTTGACTGGTTCGATTAGAGAAGTCGAACTGGTAATGATATTGTTGGTTTTTGTAGATAGGCTGTTTGTAGGATCTTTAGTGATTTTGGAGTAGCTACCATCATTGAGTAGGTCCTGGATTTTGTTGTTGTATGTGGTTTTATCCATGATGACAGTGGCATTGCCCTTGTCGGCCGAGGGGATGACTATGTCATCCCTCTTTTTTCAAATTTGCGAGTTAAGAGCGCTCGTTTTTGCTGATATTGCTCATGGGTTTCGTAGCATTTTTGGGGATAGTGGCGATTTCAGCTCTAGCAATGTCTGTTTGGAGTCCACTCTCCCCCGCTTCTCCCCCACCCGTGGGACATGAGCTGTATGCCCAGCTTTGGGATTGGCTCCCCCAGCCCACGCCCTGCCCCCATACTCACCCTGCCCTCGTTCCCCCCCCCCCCCTCAGCTATATAAACCCGTGTTAGCGCTATCTCTTAGACATATTTCAGCAACTGTCTTCGCTGTGTTTGTCCCCACCTGATGACAGACGCTTGTGTTGCGCCCAAAACGTCGTGATTTAATTTAGTAGTTTTTTCATTTGTATTTTACTTTATTTTATGTTTTATCTACGTGACTTTACAGAATAAAACCAAAGAGTATGGATTCTTGCAGTCACGAAAACTTCAAATCTAGAATTAAGGTATTTAATTTATCAACCCCGGAGCGACGAAGTGTTGAGTTGAACCACCTAACGTGGTCTGAAGTTGCGCTCTAATCACCGGGCCGCATGCCACCGCATCAAGCTCGGCGTGATGGGGTCTGCGCGGTGAGCACCGCTTGTCGGGACGTCCAAAGTGGTCAATTAATCTTAATTTTAGTTTCAATATTGCCCTCAATAAAGTAAGTATCAGTGCACATGACAGCAGAACGAGAACGGTACAGCCTCACAATGATTTTGAGACTGGACCCCCACCAGAGCAACGTAGAATTTACACCCCTTGCTTGGGATTAAAGTGGAAATCCACACCACCCAATGCTCTTTTAATGCAAATGTTATATTATAGTGGCAATGAAACATAAACTACACGATTACAAACCAAATAATGTTTTATTTTACCAGGCAAGGCCCACTAAGCTATGTAGCTCATTTTCATGTGACCTGGAAAAAATATTAGCTCAACGAAGTGGCTTATCACGTGGAAATTTGCAGCAGCCAAATACCCGAAACGCATGTTGATTCTAAATGTGGAGGGGAAACTGGAGGACTCGGAGAAAAATCCACACGACCACGAAGAGAGAGAAAGATATGCAAACTCCAAATATACAGCAGGCATCAGGGTCTGGATCGAACCCACGACCTCCTGTATACTAGGTGAGCAAGTGAACATCTCGCCACAATGGCATCCCATCCCAAGGCCCAGGACAAGAAGCAAAATACCGATGGTGTTTCACTGAATCAGATCCGTGGATGAATGTGCTTACATCGCGGGTTACGCAATTTATGTCTGTGAGGCCTTGTGTATCTGGCGTATTGTCCACCTAGATCCGACACTGTGTTCATACACACGTGGACTGGCAAGTCCTTCACAAAGGATGCCGTTTCCTAGGAAGTGGACGTCACAAGCCATGTCACATTACTCACGAGTTGGTCATTGTGGGCTCGTGTTGTAGCTATACATCCCAAATTGTACAATTACCCAAATTATAATTGTAAATATACATAGTCTATCAGACATCATGTAAAATATATATCTATTTATATTACTAAGCTCTCCAGTTACTACACTACGACCGCGTCCCTGTCGTGTCTGTGTATTGATGTCTAGTTCACTGGCCCTGCGTGTTCCTGCAGGGAACGTATGCCCTGCCACTAATCATTCTAATTCTGGCACAAAGGGTCCCATAGTCTCTGGTTTAGGCCAATCAACGCATACATTGTAATAAAAGCATACTTGCATTTCTTACCACAAGCATGATGTCTGGTTAATGCTGATTTGCATCCTTGCAATAAATGTCTCTGTTGTTTGAACATCTTTACACCTCCTGTATTATTGCCGGAAAGGATAAAGTCTTTTTTTCCAGCATTTTTATATCGGTAAAAAAGGTCCCATAGATACGAATACACTCTAGTTTGTGTGTGCAAAAGAGATTTGAGAGTAGCAGGAGTGTTTCTGGCCGATCGTGTTCTATCAGTGCGAGAGCGGTCATGCTGCTCTCTGCCCCTTGCGAGCCGTTACCTGCAGTGCTGATGATGGCTTTGGCATAGTCCGGGTGACTGATTTGCAATGTTGATATGAACGGACCAAACCACATGGGAAACACGTAGCGATACTCGCGGAACAGCTTCAAAAGATTCCGCAGCCACTGCTCGTCATCTGGAAGCTGCACACAAACACGTACAACACAAATACAAACACCCCCTGTATAGCCTTGAACAAACTGTCGAGGCAAGTGCTATTAAGGGGTACATATGAAGGCTGGCACAGCACACGAACAGTGACCCTTCCAATCCCACATAAAGTGCCTAACCCCTCAGCCATCTTCACACAGCCATGCAAGTTGATGTAACTGAGCAATACACTAATATAGACTGAATGTTTCCTGCGTAGACACGAAGAATTCGCCGCGGTGTATTACAATGGTAAACACACTGGACCTGCAATCAACCTCGAGGACACCGGTTCAATCCTGATCTCCCGGTGCGGCAGTTGAGACAACGAGGCAAGTTTTTGTTTCATTAAACCCCTTGACCAGTGCCGCCAGTTTCCACTGAGCAGAGGTGTGATTGCTGCTTGGCGGATCGTGAATTCACTTCGCAGGGGTTCTCAACCACGAGTTCTGCTCGCGTGTTGAGTGCTACATGTGTCAGCAGGTTCCCATGCAGCTGTGTGTGTACAGCCTCCATGTGCCGTTATGTAGTCTTGGGGTGACCGCGCATACGAGGGCACGCAACGAGAGGGCACACAGGCAGCACCGAGCCACCAGCAGCTACTACCGAGCCAGGCAATTATTTATATCCAGAAGACGGGTCCAGGTATCCCTCGCTATTGGTGTTGGCTGTGGCCAGGAGCCAACGTCAATCGGATTCATGGGACCCCTTAAGGTCGCACACGCGGCACCCCTGAACACGCGTCAGGTGGCCGCGCGGTACACGGAAAGTGCACACACTACATACACAGTACACAGTACATACATACACAGTACACACACACTACATACACAGTACACACACACTACATTCACAGTACACAAACACGACATACACAGTACACAAACACTACATAGACAGTACACACACACTACATACACAGTACATACACACAACTTAAATTTTAAGATTTTGAAGTTTGGAAAAAAATTCAAACTGAATTTTGAAGATCACATTGATTATATTGGTAAGAAGACACAAATTAAAATTGGTTTTCTGTATCGACACAAGTACTGCTTCCCCCCTATGTTCCGTTTGGAATTGATAAAAGCTACCATACTGCCTCTACTTGATTACTGTGACATCGTATACAAATAAGCCCCAAGCACTATACTGAAGAAGCTTGACTCAATTTATCACTCAGCCTTAAGATTTGCATTGAACTGCCCATATAGGACTCACCACTGCGATCTCTACATTGGGTCAAACTTAATATCGCTTAATGTTCGACGGCTTGTGCACCAGATCTTATTTATTCACCATGTACATACAAAAGGATCCGCAGACTACCTGCTGGATCTCCTCACTGTTTCGAAGAACAAATGTGACCTAAGGTCTTTGCTCATTTACCAGCTTCATATTCCTTATTGCCGTACAAATACTGGAGGGTCTTTGCTATTGAGGCCCCAAGGGTCTGGAATGCAACTGCCAATTAACTGCAACTTGAATCACTACCTATGAGATCTTCGCTCAAAACTGCTCTAGAGGAGTTGTACACTCATAGCTGCCACTGCTATTCAGTGGCCTAAAATCAAATGTTTTCGTTCCGGATGACCGCTGCAATGTATGATCTTGTGTTTTGATTTAGTGTGCCGATCTTTAAATGTGCATTTGGAAATTTGTGATACTCCTACTGATGCTCCTGCTGTTGTGGAGTGACTCATGAATCCAGCTATGGCTACAGGGTTTGGTGGTACATGTTCATATTCTTAGGTTTTTTCGGTTAAGTCACGTAAGTAAAACATCAAAATAAAAATAAAATAAAAATCACGACGTTTCGGAGGCAACACAAGTCTACGTCATCAGGTGGGACCGTCACAGCCGAATTAGCTGCACCCACTTGATGCAGCTAATTCGGCTGTGACGGTCCCACCTGATGACGGAGACTTGTGTTGCCTCCGAAACGTCGTGATTTTTATTTTTATTTTATTTTTATTTTGATGTTTTACTTACGTGACTTAACCGAAAAAACCTAAGAATATGAATCTTTGCAGTCACGAAAGCTTCAAATCTAGAATTAGTGGTACATGTTGTTTATGTCGTTTATTGTGAAATTTCAGTCACAGTTCCTATGATCACTGTTACATTGCTTATGGCTTTATTTTGGTGATTTCTAAAGTTTTTTGGTTTGGCCATGTTTGTTTGTTGTAGTACGGTGTTAGAATGATGGCTTTAATCTAAGTTGTCTTGTGGTTGTTGTTGTTTGACTTGCATCCCACTGGGATTTTTGCACAGCGTTGGTGTACGGTGCTTTTTTTTCTGGAAGACTTTGGAGTTTTTTCCTGGATTTTTCTGTTTGCGCATAGTCACTTTATGATGTTTCCTTGTTCATGTTTTAGTTTTTTGCTTGTTGCGGTTGCACCCGATTCAAGAGCCGAATGGCTCACAGGGCTATAGCAAAGAAATGAAACTGAAACACACTACATATGTTGTGCAGTATGACCACACGGAGACGGAATTTACAATAAGGGCTGATGCCGTTTATTAACACTGGTGCACACAACACTCTAACTCACACCAGAGGTAGGTGCTCTCTATTCTTGGTCCTTGCCCTGGACCCTGAACACTATATTGTCCTGCCCTCGGTTATCTCCTGGGGCTCTCTTACTCGTCTGGCCAGAGCGAGGGGTTCATCCAACACCACCCGGCGACGAGGAGAGAGGAACCCTCTCTCTCAGCCGATCCTTACTTAATACTCGGAGCCCTGCTCTCGGCTATCCCCTCGGCTCTCCCACTTGTTTGCCCAGGATGGGGGTTCATCCAACACTGCCCGGCGACGAGGAGGGAGAGACCTCTTCCAGACGATCCTTGCCCTGGCTCCCCACAACGACCCCGCCTTCATCACGGGGTACCCCTTAAGTACCCCTTTGGCAGCTCCTCCCCCTAGCTCGGACCCACCTTTGTTCCCGAAGGCACCCCCTTACACGCCCGTGACATGACGTCATCCTCGGCTGTCAACTCGCTCGCACCTCCCTCTGTTCGCTCCCTCATGGTTGCTCACACTTTTCCTCTACATCACCCCTCCCCATAAAAAAAAATTCAGCCGTCCCGGCTACTAACTATACTCAAACCAACCCGTATCGGAGTCGATGGCAACCAGCCAGAAACCATCAACAAGAGCAATTGGAACAACAATATAACAATAACAATGTAAATGGAGGTATGAAGGCAGGGCCATCTGGAGGGGGGGAGGGGTTGGACACAACAAGAGTGTGTAAGGCAGAACGGCAATTGCAAGGAAGGCCTCCATCCTTCAGTTCAGGGTGTCGACCACCCCGTCGGCGATGACGGGCATCGGAAGATAACGGCCCAGAAGGAGGTGTTCAGCGGAACAGTGCCTCTGGACCGCGTATGTGCTGCCAGACTGCTTCCACAGGCAGCATCCGGTTTGTGCACAGGCGTTGTGTCCGGCGATGTTGGCTTCTCCCCCGACGGGGAATCTGGCGGCGCTGCGGGAGCTACTCGGGGGGGTTCTGTGGGTGGACAAACAAAGAGTTTATGCTGCACCTCGCCCCGGCCGGGATTGCCCGGCTCGTCGGACGCATCAGGCACCGGCCGCTCCGGAGTTGCAGATGAATCTACGGGACAGGGCAAAACATATAATTTCAACCTGGATGGATGAATGATCCAGTGACGGCGACCGAACCGGATGCACACGCACTGTGGCCGGCGGACTTCCACGACCTCAACGGGACCCTGCTAAGGGCGATATAATTTCGGGGACGTCCCAATGGGCACCTGGGGGCAATGTAGCCACACTTTATCCCCATTCCTCCATGGAAGCCCGGATCCCTGGTTATCCACGGCAGCTTACCGTGCTTCACGCAGCCTGTCAAGTGTGGCCCGCATCGAAGTGGGCACAGTGGATCCCTTCTTAGACGAGCCCAGGCATTTGCATGTGCATCGGGGGTTCTGGCTCCCTCCCGTACATCAGATAAAAGGGTGAAAACCCCGTTGAGGAATGAGGGGCCAACCGATACGTGGCGAGGACGCCCGGGATAAACAGGTCCCAGTCCGAATGGGACGCGTTCACCTGGTGGCACGTTATGGATGTGAGGGTGCGATTTAACCGCTCCACCATCCCATCGGTTTGAGGGTGGTAGGGCGAAGTACGGATTTTCTTGGTGCCAAGGAGGTCACAGACCTCCTTGAGCAGTCGGGAAGAAAAATCCAGACCCTGGTCGGTTAGAAGCTGCTCCGGGGCACCCTTATCTAGAACACACTCATGCAAAAAGGCATCGTTGATAGACGAGGCTGATTGATCTTGCAAGGGCCAACGTGTGAGGTATTCAACTCCGACCAACAGATACTTGTGGCCCCGTTGGGAAGTTGGAAATGGGCCTAAAATGTCGAGGGCCACAAGTTTATTTACACGAGAAACCTGAATGGACTGCAACGGGGGCCGATCACGCACAACCGCGGGCTACCGCCGTGCGCAATCCTGGCTGCCCTTAACAATTAGCGCCACGTCGCTTTCCATGCCCGGCCAGTAATAATCTCACTTGATGGTCAACAAGGTCTTGTGGGTCCCAAGGTGCATCAATTTAACGTGAACTGCACAAGTCCGTTTCCTTCTTAGGACTGTGGGCACCACAAAGCAATACCTTTCTAGCTCCATATCCTAGCGCATAAGGAGGCTGTCGTGCAAGACAACAGCCGGGGCAGTCGACGGATAGGAGTAATGGTCACCAGATTTAACACGGCGCCGCAATTTCAACAGCGAGGTGTCCTCCATCTGTAAGGGAGACCATTCATCCTGAGGGAGACCTAAGCCAAAATCCGCGGGCAGCGACGCACCCGGAAAAGGAGCTGCATCAGCTGTTGCCACTAATTGGGGCCCGGGGTCAATTGGGGCCTTGTAATGACTCGAACCAGTCGTGCATGCACAACAACTGTCCTGTGGCAATCTAGACAAAGCGTCCGCATTTCCATGCTCTGCCCCCTTCCTGTGAAT